CCATTCTGTCAGACTTAACCCGTAGGGAGCAGTGTGAATGCTGCCCGTCCTTGGCTCCCTGCACACTGGCTCGAGGGCCTCTACAAGGACGCGTAACAGATGCTTCCTTTCGTTTCAGAGACGTTCGATAAGCAGCAGGCAAACACCATCTTCTGGAGTCCCCAAGGACAGTTTGTGGTGCTGGCCGGCCTGAGGAGGTGGGCGTCTGCCGTCAGCTCGCGGGGAGCGGCGCTCCAGGTTGCATGCCGGGTGCTGAGGGTCACGCTGGGGCTCTGACTCCTTGCAAATGCTCGATGGACTGGTCGTTGTGAGCTCCTGGACCTGGGCCAAGACCAGGCAGATTAAAACAGTCACGTGCGTGTGCTTGCTCTGCGTGCCCTGGAAGACACGTCTGCGTGTTGCGATTCCCTGGCAGTTAAGCGGGAACTCTGCCTGGCAATCCACTTAGCCGGTGTCAAATCCACATCTTCTCGTAGGAAGGCTATTTCAGCAGACAGCTGAGCCTGTCTACTGTGGTCATTGTAACCGCAGAACATAGATGCCCACCCTCCCTTGCTCGCCACTTAGTTGCTGTTTCAACAAGATGTGTGGAAGGAGACAGCGCGGGGCTTGCAGCTTCCGTCGGGCCTGCGTGCTGGTGGAATGCCCCAGCTGCTCATGGCCCTTCCTTGTCCTAGACGTTGATTGTGTTTTTGGAGGCTTGGCCTCTGATACCCTTTCCTGTAAAGATAACGCCGCAGACACATACAGTCTGGTCGTGTGCACTTGATATGTCTTCCTTCACAGCCCCACTCGGAGAGTGTTACTTCCCTGTTAGTGGTTGGGGGGGGTGTTCTGACCCCCACCCTGCAGCCTCCAAGGGGCGGGAACGCTGGTGGGATGGCGCAGACACACAGGGCTCCTGACGGAGCTTGACGGCCATCTCCTAACTGCACTGTCTGTCTGTCTGTGTCCTCAGCATGAATGGCGCCTTGGCGTTTGTTGACACTTCGGACTGTACGGTCATGAACATTGCAGAACACTACATGGCCTCCGACGTGGAGTGGGATCCGACTGGGCGTTACGTCATCACCTCTGTGTCCTGGTGGAGCCATAAGGTATGGGTCCTGTGCAGCCTCGTGCCTATGAAATCTGGCTGTGCCCGGCTTGCCGCTGATCCCTTACCTCGGGAAGAGTGCCAGCACGGCGCTTCCACCACCACCACACGCGCGCGCACACACGCACATCCACCCACCCACCCTCCTCGGGCAGGCATTGCTGGTGGGCCGTTATAAATTGACTTTGTGCCCGGGCTGCTTCAGAATACTGATGCTTCTCGACGTAGGATGGGGCTGCACCCCAATAAATACCGGAAGTGGAAAATGCCTACCAGCGTCCTGGCTTAGCCAAAGCCCACCTTACACACCCTCAGAACACCTAAGTAGCTACAGTTGGGCAAAACCGTCTCGCTGCCCACCCAGCGTCACAAGCATCCCGTCCCACATACCACTAGGCTGGGAAAAGATCCAGACTCAAAATTTCAGGTGTGGTTTCTACCAAATGCACGTCGCTGTCACACCGTCGTATTTTGAGGCCATCTGTACTTCTGGTCAGAGCGCCTATGGCAGCAGCCTTCCCCTAAACACCTTGGGGTTCCTCGAGCCCCTCTTTCCTGAGTTAGACCCCGTCTTAGTCGGCTGCAGCCCGCGTCCAGGCTGCCGTCATCTGCAGTAGGCAGAGCTTTTCACCCTGGGAACCAGGGTGTTATGATCCTCCTGCAGCTGAGAATTCAACGAGGCTGCTCACTGGCTCGTATGTGGAGGGGTTTCTTCCTGTTGGCACACGCCTTCCCAGCGCAGTTACTTCCTCGAGAAGTTCTTGGTTCGGGCCGTCATTTTCCGGGTGCCCAGCCCATGAGCCCTCTGTGCCGAGGCCTCTGCTGGCTGCGGTCCTGTGGCCTACAAGTGAGGGTTCCCTGAGCGGAGGCCTCTCCCTCTCCTGCCTCATGGCCATGGCACTCCCCCCACCTGGAGTGCAGTTGCTGTGGGTTTGGTGCTTCCTACTGTTGAGCTGTACCAAAGTGCACATCTCCAGAGGCTCCCCTCCTGCCTGGGCACCACTGTGTTTTCATGGTGCTCAAATGATAGCAAGTCAGCTTAGTCAGTGGCTACGAGTTCCTCATCTCCTGGTCCCGCTAGAATGGAACATCATGGGGACGCGGGCGTTTCCTCTCCTGTTCTGAGCCGTGTCCCCAGCATCTGCAACGGTGTCAGGTTCAGTCAGGACTTGCTGACTGAATGACTTGGCACACGAGAAACATTTGCCATCTCTGTTTTTAACTTAAGATTGTCATCTTTCTTTAGCAAAAGACACAAGGGTGTGTCAGCAGCGGTAGAAATGGGCCTCTGATTGTGGAAGGAGGCTGAGGCGGGCACGGGAGTGACAGGTGCCAGCAGGGGGCGTTACAGCCTGGGCTTTGGAACACCCCGAAAGGCATGGAAGTGGGATTCTACACAGCGTTTTTCTGCGGGGGCAGAGGGGAGTCTCAACAAGCCTGAAACACTTAAGGAACTCTGTGAGGAATGCTGTGCTCTGCAGGGACCAAGGGCCACGTGTGTACAACCACGTCCTGCGTAGCATGTGAAGGCTGCTGGCTTCGGCGTGGTTCACAGACTCTGCCCCATCTGGTGGTCAAGTTGGCCGAGGATTTCATTTCATGTTGTTAGGATTTTGTGTTGATTGAGGTGTTGACAGTTGAACCAGCTCATGCATGTGCACAGAGCCTGTGCAGCCAAATCCGGGGAATTCTGTGCAGTGACGTCACGAGCTTCTGGGAATGGACTTAGCACACATCCCTGACAACAGTGTCTTAAGTCATCACCTTTACACCCTGATCAGGTGTGTTGGCCGTGCCCATGTCGGAACCTGTTCACACTTACCCTTTCAGACTGTCGGTCACTGTTAAAACGCGACAGGCTACCCAAGCGCGCGTCTGGGCCAGGATTACACCAGTGTGAATGACGGCGCTGCTTCCTTCATCAAGAAAGCCTTGCTTGGAAAACTGCAAGCTGAGCTAAACTGTTGGATGCAGTTAGTTTCTGTCCTATGCTGTCTTAGCACTGTTCTGGCTGCTGTGTACACTGCAGTGTAATGTGGTACATAACTTGTGTCTTGTTTGTCAGCTGTCACCCCCTGCCGAATGGAAGCCCTGTGAAGGCAGGTCTTGGTTTTGTTCACCAGTGTCTCCCAAATACTGATACCCTTCTTGGGCGACGCGTTGGCTCGCAGTGGGATGAATGGCTGGCTTCGTGGGCTCTGCGTCCTGGGGTGACTGGGCGGGGTGAGCAGCTCCATCTCCCCTTGGCCTCTTCCAGGTGGACAACGCTTACTGGCTGTGGACTTTCCAAGGGCGTCTTCTGCAGAAGAATAACAAAGACCGCTTTTGCCAGCTGCTGTGGAGACCCCGGCCCCCAACACTCCTGAGCCAGGATCAGATAAAGGTCTGGTGTCCCAGCAGTTTGAGGGGGCGTGGAAGTAAAAGGAAAAGCTTTCTTTTGTCACTGTCAGGGTGGTCTGAGCGAGGAATAGAAACGTGACCCTTTGAAAAGATGCAAGAACAGTAGGAACCCAAGTGGAAAAGAACAGTTTTAGGGACAGTCAGCTTGGATTGTCAGCTTGTTTTGGGT